CACAGGTGTGAGCTGGGGGTTGAGCTTGACTGCTCTGGGTGGTCTGGGCCAGCTGGAGGTCTGTCAGGGCCATCATTATTGCTTAAAGGGCAGTTTCAGTTTCCAGCACGGGATGCTATGTCCCTCAGGTCTCTTGCCCTAGTTGAGAGATAAGCTGGAAAGAAGAACTTAAGGAAAAATGTGGGACAAAAGTTGGTGGGTATAAGCATGTGGGCAGTATAAGTCAGGTCTTGGGGTCTAGCTGGTGACAATCTCATTGGTCACTCTTCTAAACTGACATTGTTAAGTTCAAAAGAACTCTTCTTTTGGCAGGTGTCTATTTCCCCGGTTCGGGATGAATGCAAATTGAAGCTTTGATCAAAAACTTCTCCTTAATTCTTAAAATCATTACATTACAAAGTCTGCTGCTAAAGCAATAAACACCCAATAAAAATCCTTAGACTCTCTGGTTAAAATTGTCCTTTAATAATAGAATAGCTCTTGATTGTCTTTTAGCTGATCAAGGAGGTATCTGTGCAGTGTCCAACACCACCTGCTAGGCCAGGATTTACCCTCCTGGGGAAGTTAAAACTGTTTGGCTCAAAAAAGGGAACTCTTTCCATGGGGGTCTTTCTTTGGCTTATTTGATTTTGATTGGCTTAGGTCCTGGGGACCCCACGGTCCCTCTAAAGTACACTCCAAATATTGGGAATTACCCTGCTTATCGTAATCCTAATAATCTCACTGGTGCATTGTATTCTCTCAGAAGCCTTAGATAGGTTTATAGCTGCTAACCACAAGCAAATGCTCTCCCTAAGACTGGAACATCTAAGGAAAGAGGAAAATACCCAACTTAAAGAACATGAACCAGAAAACATGACCTATATTACAAAGGTTAAATACAAAATTTAGGAGCTATGGATACCACACAAAGGAGCAACAAAATCTGGGAACTGCAGAGCAGTAGCTGAGAGTGGTGCTAATGCCTGTAAATTTGTTCACATCGCAAACTGAGATGTGATCAAGAGGGGAAAATTGTTAAAAAAAAAAAAAAAAGAAAGAAAGAAAATTGCAGGCCCCAAATGGTGTCACTTAGAGTTCCTAAAGCAGAGTTTAAGATCCAATCTAATTGCAGTTTCAACCTCCCCAAGAAATGTGGCCTTCACCGGTGGGTCAGGAAATGTTTCCTTTCATCAGTGCCAAGGAGTCTGTCACTTGCTTCTCTCCATTCCCCCAAAGAAAGATGAGGTAATCTGCATGAGAAGACCCCTTGCTTTTCCCCTAGCAAACAGCTTCCTCTGGAACAATCCTTTTGTTTTCCTAGTAACTTTCTTGTCCCCACCCTCTGTCTACAGAGACCTTCCATCTTGGACAGCTCCTCAGAGCGCCTCTCTGCTTGCTAGATGGGGTGCTATCAGACCCATGAATTGTTTAATAAAGCCAACTAGATCTTCAAATTCACTTGGTTGAATTGTGTTATTTAACAGGTCTGAGGGCAACCGGAACTGGCAAAATCCTGCTATAGTCAGACTTTAAGGAATTAGTTCTGCCAGGTTTATGATGAAATACAGAGATTATATTTATCTCTTTATGTAAATTAAATTAGAGTTCATTGTTCCCCCTGAGAACATATAATAGAGACTTTTCCAAAACCTTAAAAAAGGAAAATGACACTTTGAAGTCTTTAGCTGTGTTAAAAGTTAAACTGAGGCATATTAAACATTTTCAGAGTTTATTTGAGCAGAAATCAATTTGAATTGGGGGGCATCCAGTCTAGCAGATAGAAAGGAACACCAAGGACCTGTACAAAATGGAAGACTTTCATAGGCAGAAAGGAGCAGGAACTAGGGATTTCTACTGGTGAGAAAGTGTATCGCTTATTGCAAAGTTACTTTCCTTTAGGAGATGGCAGAAGTCTCCCAGGCAGATGACCTAACCAGTGTTCATCAGGTGATTTCTGATTGAACTGGTTTAAGATTCCATTTTTGGGAGAGCCAAAAATGTATTTACGTCTGGTTTGGTGACCTGGGGCTTAAATGACTTTGGGGACTGTTGTCTTGTTTTTAACAGCTGTTAATTAAAATTAATGTTTTTTTAAATTTTTTTAGGGTTAAAATTAATGTTTTTAAATATGCTTTTCCCTCTAGTACATTAAATGAGCAGTTTAGAAAAAGTACTTAAAGATGAAGGTAAGGGAATAAATTTAAAGATGTCACTTTCATAAGATAATTCAAAACATGTTGATTGGAAATTTATAGGAAGGCCAAAAACTAGGGCAATAATTTTAAAATAACTTGATTCACTGGAATTTTTTTATTTTATTTTTTAAAATTTATTTATTTGACAGAGAAAGACACAGTGAGAGAGGGAACACAAGCAGGGGGAGTGGGAGAGGGAGAAGCAGGCTTCCTGCTGAGCAGGGAGCCCGATGTGGGGCTCCATCCCAGGACCCCGGGACCATGATCTGAGCCGAAGGCAGACGCTTAACCAACTGCGCTACACTGGAATTTTTAAAAAAGATTTTATTTATTTATTTATTTATTTATTTATTTATTTATTTAAGAGAGAGAGAGAGAGAGAGAGAGCGTGCAAGTGCAGGGAGGAGCAGAGGGAGAGGGACAAGCAAACTCTGCATTAAGCATGGCTTGACATGGGGCTTGATCCCATCACTCTAAGATCATGACCTGAGCCAAAACCAAGAATCAGATGCTTAACCGACTGAGCCACCCAGGAATCCCTCTCTGGAATTTTTTTTTTTTTAAAGATTTTATTTATTTATTTGAGAGAGCGAGAATGAGAGAGAGAGAGCACATGAGAGGGGGGAGGGTCAGAGGGAGAAGCAGACTCCCTGCTGAGCAGGGAGCCCGATGTGGGACTCGATCCCGGGACTCCAGGATCATGACCTGAGCTGAAGGCAGTCGCTTAACCAACTGAGCCACCCAGGCGCCCCCTCTCTGGAATTTTTAAATTGAAAAAAGGAATTAGAGAACTCTGAACTCTATTATTGACCTCATCACATTACAAATAAATTGAATTTTTATGTATCATCTCACCACCTGGTCTGGAGAATCTTTGGAAATTATTCATAAACTTTTTTTAAAAGTTTTTTTTTTTTTTAAGATTTTATTTGACAGAGAGAGACACAGCGAGAGGAAACACAAGCAGGGGGAGTGGAAGAGGGAGAAGCAGACTTCCCACTGAGCAGGGAGCCTGATGTGGGGCTTGATCCCAGGACCCTGGGATCATGACCTGAGCTGAAGGCAGATGCTTAACGACTGAGACACCCAGTAGCCTCTATTCATAAACATTTTGAAGAGAACATTTTAAGTAAGAAATAAGGACTATTATGGAAAGCTAATGCATGTACTACTTGTAGCAATTTGAATGAAGCATGATAAATATACCCTAGCTAATTTAAATAAATCTATCCTAAAAGGAAAGTGGAGTATGCTGTCTATAGTCATTAAAATCCCACTTTTTGCATCACATAGAAAGAGAATACAGCAATAATGGTTGGTGTCCACTTTGATATCTACACACTAAGATTAACAAATGAATTTTGTGAAAACCCTTAAGTGGAAGAATTATTGTCTTTCAAACCATTATCAGCATATGTAAAAAAGAGTTTTAAGATGTAAAATTCTTTGAATGAGTGAAATTTTTGCCACTAGTTTTACTAATAGTCCAAAAGCAAATGATTACTATTCAATATTATGAATATTCATTTACCCACGAATAATATCATGAGTCAGATATCAGAATCCTGACAAAAATGGAAGACAATAAGATCCCTCACCCCTTGCCCCCCCTACACAACAAAATGAGAATATTCAAAGAGGTACTGATGCTAAGAAAGCCTTGGTGTTGGTGGTATCTCTGTACTTCAAGACTTGATCTTCTAACTCTGCAGGTCTGGAACTTCGGTTGCCAGCTTCGCCGGTGGATATTTACCCCCACCCCCCAAAACTACCTTATTGTATGACATTGATTTATACAAAAGAACTAAGTTTGTAATAAAACATAAAATTGTCAAGCCCTCATTTAGTCTCTTTTATCTCACCATGGAAGTCTATTTAAGAAGCCAAGTTAAGGTTGGTGAATATATATATGTAACCAAGGCACTAATAACAAAAATACTATTTCTTCTGGCACATAAGTACCTAGTTAGGGGCTGCTATTATTTCCCATAGTGCTTTACAGCTTACAGATCCTTTTCATATGTTTTATTGATTGTTTGATTCTCACTCACAAGAATTATATCAAGTAGTGGGTCCAGTATTATCATCTTCCTACTTCTTTTCCTGATAGAAAACAAAACAAAACAAAACAAAACAAAACAAAACAACCAGAGGCACAGAGGTTAAGTGCCTTAATTCAATCTCATAACTGATATAGTTGACATCTGTTGCTTTGGTTGGGCCAATTTCATTCCTCCTTTTGGTAACAGGACTGTGATTTTCCTTTAAGGAACTACTCCTGTGCGTTTTGTAGAACTCCTAACAGGACTGTCAATCAAGGGGCTATGCCTCTCTCCATTACATGGGACCCACGTGGGCCCATCAGGATCTTGTATATCCTCTGGATGCAGAGACTGGTATATAGGTAGGTATTGTGATCCAAGTAATTTAAGGTGTTTTTGTTTTTGTTTTTAAGAGTGAAGTAAATGAATTCTAGGAGTGAGTTGGCTTCACTTGAGAACTGTAAGAACTATGAAAACCTGGAGAGCTGCTTTCCAGAGAAAGCTGTTGGAGTGAAGCCAATATAGAGGAAAGTCCAGTGGAGAATGAGGGGTGGGGGTGGGAGAGAGAGAGAGAGAATGAGATAGAAAAAGATATTCCTGATTTCATTTGAGGAAGTAGATATAGCTATCCCTGAAGCCAGATCAACTCCTGGATTTTCAAGTTCAGTGAGTTAATAAATTCCTTGTTTGGCTTAGACAAGTTTGGACTAATTCACTTGCAATTAAAAAAAAAACCCAAATACAGCTAATAAAAGTCTTAGTTATGATTGAAACACATCTTTTGACATCAAACATATACCCATAAATGTTGTCAAAAAGGATCCACTGCTATTGTGGGATACTTGAGAACCGCCCTTTTTTCAAGGAGACAACCTGCCTTCTGTTCTAGGTTCTGTTCAAGTTTTCTTTCTTTTTTTTTTTTAAGATTCTATTTATTTATTCATGAGAGACGGAGAGAGAGAGAGGCAGAGGGAGAAATCAGGCTCCCTGCAGAGCAGGGAGCCCAATACAGGACTCGGTCCCAGGACTCTGAGACCAGAACCTGAGCTGAAGGCAGATGCTTAACCGACTGAGTCACCCAGGCACCCAAGTTTTCATTTTTTAAAAAATATTTTATTTATTTATTTGAGAGAGAGAGAGAGAGAGAGAGAGAGAGAGAGAAAGAGAGAATGAGTGGGGGAGGGGCAAGCAGACTGCCCACTGAGCAAGGAGCTAGATCCCAGGACTTGGAGATCATAAGCTGAGCTGAAATCAGATACTTAACCTTTAACCAACTAAGCCACCCAGGTGTCCCTCAAGTTTTCATTTTTAAAATAATATCAAGAGGATGAGAAGACAAGCTACAGACTGGAGGGGAGAAGTTATTTGCAAAAGACATATCTGATAAAGGACTGTTATCCAAAATATACAAAGAACTCTTAAAACTCAACGAGACAAACAACCTGATTCAAAAATGGGCAAAAGATCTGAATAGGCCTTTCACCAAAGAAGATAAACAGAAGCAAATAAGCATATGAAAAGCTCCACATCATATGTTATCAGGAAATACAAATTAAAACAACTATGAGATACCTCTACACAAGAATTAGAAGGCCAAAATCCAGAACACTGACATCGCCAAATGCTTGTGAGACTGTGGGGAATAGAAACTCTTGCCAGTGGGAATGCAAAATGGTTCAGCCACTTTGGAAGACAGTTTGGCAGTTTCTTAAAAAACTAAACACACTCTTACCCTACAATCCAGTAATCTTGCTCCTTGGTATTTACCCAAAGGAGTTGATGACTTATGTCTACACAAAAATCTGTACACAGATACCAGCTTTATTCATAATTGCCAAAACTTGGAGGTAACCAAGATGTCCTTCCATAGGTGGATGAATAAACTGTGATACATCTGAAACTGGTTAAAGTTGAACAAAATCAAAATGGCTGCACTAATGCTTCAGCAAACCTCAATTTTAAAGCAATCTTTTTCCTCCCTTCTGCAAACCACCCCTCCTCCCTTCTTAGGGAAGGAAGCAGGTAAAACCCCAAAGACATGAGGAAGGAGGCTAGTAGCAAGTACGCACTTCCTGTCAGAACCCAGCTAGTTTCTGTATTTCCCTATAAAAACCTCAGCCCCTGCCTCCAGGCGGGCTCGCAGTTTTTGAAGGCCATAGCCTGCTGCAGCCTTCTTGGCCAGCCAGAGCAATAAAGCTATTTTTCCTCTTTATCCCAAGCTCTGACTTCGTCTTATATTTTGGCTCTGAAGCATGGAGGTTGGTTTTTGACAACACATCTAGACAATGGAATATCATTCTCTGCCAAAAAGAAATGAGTCGCTAAGCCACAAAAAGATGTGGAGGAAACTTAAATGCATATGATTGAGTGAAAGAAGCCAATCTGAAAATGCTACATACTGTATGATTCCAAATATATGACATTCTGAAAAAGACAAACTGTAGAGCAAAAAGATTAGTGATTGCCAGGGTTTGGGGGAGCGATGGATGAATACACAGTGCACAGAGGATTTTTAGGGCAGTTAAACTCCTCTGTCTGATTCTAATAGTGGTGAATACAAGTCATACATTTGTGCAGTCCAATAGAATATACAACACAGTGAACCTTAATGAAAACTTTTGGGGGCTGGGTGGGTAGGAGGTATAGAGGAAATCTCTATACTTTACTCTCAATTTTGCTGCGAGCCTAAATAAAAATTAGTCTGGGGGTGCCTGGCTGGCTCATTTGGGGGAGTGTGTGACTCTTGATCTTCGGGTTGTGAGTCCAAGCCCCATGTTGGGTATGGAGATTACTTAAAAATAAAATCTTTAAAAATAAATAAAAATAAAATATAGTCTATTCAAAACATTTCAAAAGGGGCGCCTGGGTGGCTCAGTCATTAAGTGTCTGCCTTCAGCTCAGGTCATGGTCCCAGGGTCGTGGGATCGAGCCCCGCATCGGGCTCCCTGCTCTGTAGGAAGCCTATTTCTCCCTCTCCCACTCCCCCTGCTTGTGTTCCCTCTCTTGCTGTGTCTCTCTCTGTCAAATAAATAAATAAAGTCTTAAAAAAAATAAAACATTTCAAAAGCCATTGCTTTTGTGGCAAGGTTAAGAGAATGTGTTGGTGAAATAATCCATGTAAAAATATGGTGTTTTTTTTTTTGCATAGTGCAAGGAAGGAATTGTTAACCTTAAGAAGAAAACTTGTCAGTTATTTTACCAGCAAAAATGGGTTTATGCAGGAATAACAAAGAATTGCAAATGGAGGCATACACACTACAGCAAAAACCGCAGGCAAATCCAACAAAGAAGAATGTTACTTTATGGAGAAGGAGGAAGGAATTGGAAGGAATTGTTTTGAATAAAAGTCCCCTGGAGGAAAGCAAAAGTTCAGTGTGTTGAGTTTCCCATTGGCTGAATTGCAGCAGTAGTTTATTTCTTTTTTTTTTAAATTTTTTATTGTTATGTTAATCACCATATATTACATCATTAGTTTTTAGTTTATTTCTTTTTATTTTATTTTATTTTACTATGTTCTGTTAATCACCATACATTACATCATTAGTTTTTGATGTAGTGTTCCATGATTCATTGTTTGCGTGTAACACCCAGGTAGTTGACTTCTTTTGGAGATGCAATGTACATTTTTCTCTGTTGGGGCATGTAATTGATGATTCTTCTTGTTGAAGATTCTTCTCTTGGGGTCTGTAATTGACAATTCCTCCTGTAACTGAGTAGTAATGTTCCTCCCTTCTAGCTTCCTGACTCTACTTTAGTGAGGTTTTCCTTTATTAATTTTCACAGAATGATGGAAAGTGCTGCAGAGTTGCACTGAGTGGGAATATTTTAGCACTTTGTGAATGTAAAAGAATATTTCTCATGTAAATATATAAAAGTGGTTAAAATTGCTTGAGCAACACTTTTAGATTGGTTAACCATAGTTAAGATGGTAAACTATTTTTCCTTAGTAGCGCAGCTACTTTTCAGTTCCTTCTTTCCTTTCTGTTTTTTTTTTTAAGATTTTATTTCAAAGTAATCTCTACACCTACTGTGGAGTTTGAACTCACAACCCTGAGATCAAGAATCACATGCTCTACCAACTGAACCCGCCAGGCACCCCTCCTTCTTCCCTTTTTTTTTATTTTGTGAGCACATACCTTGTGTGAGTGTGTTCAAATTTGCAACACTAATCCATAGAAGCATAAGGTCATGGGCTGTAATGTCTTTTTCCTGTTTATCTTTCCCTTCATCATCCCTTTTCTCTGCAGGCCCTGGTTCCTACATCTTTTTCACTCAACTCTTTTTTTTTTTTTTTAAGATTTTATTTATTTATTTGTGAGAGAGGGATGGAGAGAGCATGGGGGAGGTGCAGAGGGGAGGGAGCAGCAGACTTCCTATTGAGCAGGGAGCCCAATATGGGGCTCAATCCCAATCATGACCTGAGCGGAGGGCAGAAAAGGCAATACACTTAACCAATTGAGCCACCCAGGCGCCCCCTCACTCAAATCTTTTTGTACCTCTCCTCCATTTTTCTTTTGTTTTTAGAAAAGACTGGAGAAAAATAAAGGGGAAGATGAAGAAAATCCTGTGAGAGAAGTAGGTCAAACTGGGAGTAGATTTATCAATCTTAGCACATTCTAAATATAGGAATAGAAAATCTTCATGTATTAACATTTTTTCTTTATTTGAATCCCCTATCTACCTACTCATTTTCAGGTAGCAAAAATAAAGGATATAGGAAAATTTAAGGAAAACACAAAATTGAGGTGAATAAATGGTTTTGACGGATTTATTACATTATATTTGCTCCTTCTCTTTTGGATTTCAAGGACCAGTGGGCTTGTTTTCCTTTTGCTATAAATATATACAGTATTTAACTCTTTCTGGACATTCTTTGGACTAACTTCTTCAGAGCTATATAATTATACTTTGTGTTATCTTTTGTCTTCCTAAGCTATTTTGGTCTAAAAGACTATACACCACCTTTTTCCTGTTAAGTTCTTCTATTAACTGTTGAATCTGTGTTAGTTTTGTTTTCCCAAAAAACAGCATCTTGATGTCCTTGAGTCTGAAGTATTGTTTTGCCACTCGTGGTGTTTTTTTCCTGTTGGAAGGCTTTACAATTTTTTCTCTGCATATTACATTTGACCCGACCTTCAAGGTTTGGCTTAAGGTCATTTCCTCTTTTAAGTTTTAAAAATTTCTCTAGTTACTTCCCAATTGTGCACTATACGACTGTGCATTTGTGGTTGGCCGAATAATGGCTCCCGCCCCCAAAGTCGTCCACTTTCAATTCCCGAGAATCTGTGAATGTTATCTTACGTGGCAAAAAGTACCTTGCAGATGTGGTTAAATTAAGGACCTTGAGATGGAGAAGTTATCTTGGGTTATGCAGAGGGGCTCAATGTCATCCTAAGGGTCCTTCTAAGAGGGAGGCCAGAGGATCAGAGTGGGAGAAGAGATGATGCTACAATGGTAGTAGAGGGAGAAAAGGCAATGGGATGTGGGGCCAGGAGTCAAGGAATGCAGGCAGTCTCTAGAAGCTGGAAAAGACAAGGAAGCAGATTCTTCTTCAGAGCCTCCAGAGTAACCAGCCCTGCCAACACCTTGATTTTAGTTCACTGAGGCTGATTTTGGACTTTTGACCTCCAGAACTATCAGATGATGAATCTGTGTTGTTTTAAGCTACCAAGTTTGTGCTAATTTGTTATAGCAGCAGTAGGAAACTAATATGACATCATTACACTCTTTACAATCCTCTAGGTCTGTTCCACATAATTTAGCACTTTATGTCATATTCTCCAATCCTACTACATATAAATGGTAGAATATAAATTCTTGGTGGACAGGAACTGGAATTTCTACCTCTCCTTTTTACACCCCACAGTGTCTCATCCAATCTTAGGAACAGAGGCATTTGGAATGGATTGATGCATAAAAGAGAATGGCCTCCTTTCTGTCTCCACTGCTGCCATGGTGCCCCTGAAAAAGCTTTTCATGAAGGGGGGGCAAAAAAAGGAAGCAAGTTCTGAAGTTTACCCTTGACTGCATTCACCCTGTAGAAGATGGAATCATGGATGCTGCCAATTTTGAGCAGTTTCTTCAAGAGAGAATCAAGGTGACCAAATAAACAGGGGGCTTGGACTTAAAAAAAAAAAAAGAATTGAAGTGAATGGAAAAGCTGGGAATCTTGGTGAAGGGGTTGTAAGCATTGAAAGGAGCAAGGGCAAGATTCCTGTAACTTCTGAGGTGCCTTTTTCCAAAAGGTATTTGAAATATCTCACCAAAAAATATTTGAAGAATAATCTAGGTGATTGGTTATGCGTAGTTGCTAACAGCAAAGAGAGTTATGAATTGCGTTTTTTCCACATTAACCAGGAGAAGGAAAAGGAGGGAGATGAGGATTAAAACTCATTTATTTGTACATTGAATATTTTGTATGAGTTCTTGAATAAAACCTGGGAACCAGAGAGAGAGAGAAAGAGAAGAAGGCCCCTGCCACTGGGGAAATGAAAGGTATTTTGAAAGACATGTATGACTCAATGAACTGTGTTTACTTCTTTGGCATCAAATTCCAACCTTGTGTTTTGAGCTGTCACATGCAGTGTTGGGTGCACAGTACCTGCATAATGGAGGGTGGAACACAGTGGATCTTCAAAAAGCACTTGATGTATTGAGCTAAAATCTGCAGGGGAAAGAAGGAAAAGGAGAAAGAAAAGCAAAATGGGTCTGGCAGAAAGTACTTCTTGTCTCTTTAGCTGATGCATTTTTTGTTACATTAATGTAAAATGTTGAAAAAGAACATTCATCAAAATTTCTAACATGAATCTTTCCTGAAAGCAAAATAGGAGAGGACAAGATGATAAAAATAGGCAGGCTGTGACAGTTTAATTTCATCCTATTAAATTCAAACAACCAGTCTTTTAAAATCCAGGTAATATGCTTAATACTGTGCCAAGAGATAAAGAGGTTACAGACAACCCATAGGACACGGGTCTCTTCTAAAGGACCTCAGTATCTTGTTGGTATAATATTAATAATAAACTAGGGTTACCAGGCAGCTTATTGCCGTCTTGTGTGATTCAGACTTTGGAGATTATAGGTATTTGGAATTTGGCTCTGGAGAATCAATACTTCATTCATTCAGCACACATTTATTGAAAACCCATTATGGTTCTCTTTGAATAAGACTTTCTGTTTGGAGTTTAAAATCTAATAAAGGAAGACAAAGGAAATAACTCATATAAGAATGGATTAAGTGCTAAATAGCAGGATGCTTTGTAGTTGAGAAAAGGTTATTACTATAATTTCTGAAAGTTGAAAGGGGAGGTGGGATTGTGAATTATTTTAAAGGTATTATTTAGACCAAGCCTTGAAAGATGAGTAAGACTTTGAAAAGAATAGACTATTCCAGGCTGAAGCATGAGCAAGAACACTGAAGACATCAAAGGGCATAGTTTTGGTTGGATGTTGGGAAGGAACAAAGGATGCTTGAAGGGTAGTGCGTTACTTTATTGCCATGGTAACAAATTACCACAAACTTAAAACAACAGAAATTTATTTTTTATAGTTCTGTAGGTCAGAAGTCTAACACAGGTCTCACTGGGATCAAAGTAAGGTGTCAGCAGGGCTGAGTTCCATTCTAGAGGCTCTAGGGGTGAATCCACTTCCTTGTCTTGTCCAGCTTCTAGAGATTACCACAAACGTGGCCGGTTGTTCTTGTTCTCTATTTTCAAAGTCTTTTTAATCATTCTTCATAGTCACATCTCCCTCTGCCTCCCTCTTTTGAAGGCCCTTGTGATTGCATTTGGCCCATTTACTAATCCAGAATAATCTGTTTTAGAGTCAAATGATTAGCAACCTTAACTACTCTTTGTGGGTGAAATTTAACATATTCACAGGTTCTGGGGATTAAGATCGTGGACATCTTTGGTGGGGGGCATTATTCTGCTTACCACAGGTAGTAAGGAGCTAATCTTGAGAGGAAAGGAGGCCAAAAGGGTGTGAATGCACTGACAAGGGCAATGGGGAGCAGGTGCATGTTTCTGAGGCTCGACATAAATCCACATTTTTTTGGAAACAGTTTTGGCTGCCCCATAAAACACCGAACGGGCAATTTTGGGGTGTAACATCAGAAAGCCATTATTACACTCAAGGTGAGCGCGTCTAAGGCAGGGAGGGAATAGCTGATCTTTTTATGTGGCCTGAGGCTGCCTCTGCCCATTTCTGAGTTTTTCATTAAAATCATGACATCATCCCGCAGGATCTCTGCATGGCCAGTTTCCGGTAATTTGGCTTCATTCGTCCAGCAGATACTGCAATCCGGGCCTTAAAATCATTCACCTACGATCAACAAAGGGAGACCGGAATCCTGGCAAATCCCCAATTAGCAAGGCTGAAGCTCAAAGAGCTAAACACTTATTTTTAAGAAATGGTCCAAATCGCAGGAAAACCACGCAGTCCTTGTTCCTCAAGGTGTTTCCTTAACACGGACAAAAAACTGAAAAGCTGTGCCTGGCTCTGGTGAACAAAGCCCGACTGCACCATCACGTTCAACACTAAAGCTCTTCCCACATTCGCGATCCACCAGGGAGCGCGCTCTTCTCCACCCACTCCCCGACAACCGGTCGCAAAAACACGACCCCGGCACAGCGGACTCTACTGACGCCGCGCCCGCCACCCGACTACGACGTCAGCGAGGAGTCCCAGGAGCGCGGCGGGTAGTTGTCGAGCAGGTGGAGGTGGAGGCAAGAAGAGGGGGGCGGACCCGCGCTCACACAGTCTTCGGCTTCCGTCATTTCCGGGTGCGACCGCCGCTTCTGTCCGGCTGGGCGCTGGACGCGTTGGGTGCACTCTTACTGCGTCTGACCGTCTGCACTAACTGCCCCTTCCCTGTTCCCAGCGGGAAGAACATGAGTGTTCCTGGGCCGACGTCCCCGGACGGGGTCCTGCCAGGGCCACCCCTCGGCCGGGGGGCAGGGGAGCCGACGCCGGGTACGTGTGATGGGGCGGGGCGGGCGGCCGGGACCCGAGTGGGTGGGTCTCCGGGGCTGCTGGGCGGGAGAGAGCTGCTCGTCTCCGAGGCTTTGGCTCCAGCGCGGAAGTGGGGCATCGCCTCGGCCCCGGGGCCGAGCTGCATGAGTGGGAAACGAAGTCTGGGGGGCGGTTGATGGTGAGGTCATTCTGCGTTTGTGTGTTGACTCCGGCACACTGTTGGCTGTTTGTTATACGTTAATGGTCAAGGATGAATTTGTCAGAAAGATACCGGTTTGTCATTCAGAGAATTGATGTATCCAAGTATGATTGACCACTCACCCATGAAATGCTGGCTTGCTTGTTGACATTCCTCCAGCAGCTTTCTCAGCCTGAGTTCCAGGAGAGATTTAAGCCCTAATACCCTAAGGCATCCATTGAATGTAATAAATTGACTTGCCAGGCATCCTAAATGGTACTATTTATGTACCATCCATGGGAGAATTGAGAAAATAGTCAAAACAGTTTCTGTTCAGATGAGGAACCCCAAATGAGGAAGGCTGCAGGGCTTTAGATGTGTTTCTTTTACCTCCGGTTCTAGGAATATAGAGGCTACTTAAAAATAGTGCTTTCTGCCCTTTCTTGGTCATGCTTTTCCTCAGTGATCGCCCCCGCTTTCATAAGCTGCTTCTATTAATATGACTTCCTTGTATATATGTGCATTTTGGGTCCCTCTCCTCTTGCCTCTCCATCTGCTTGCTGGATACTTTGACGTGGTTGTTTTGCTCTAACCTCGCATACAGCCTGGGCATAAATAAAAGTAGATGTCTGATTCTGTTAATGGTGCCAAGTCACTCTCACTTCAGACTTTGACGTTAGTCTTGACTTTTCCTTTCACTTGCCTTCTACCTCTATTTAGTCTAGGGGATTCTACCACGCAGTTTCCATCTCCTCTCTGTAGTTTCACCTGCAAGGCCAGTTGTAAGGCTATCCACCTCCAGTCTCTTACTCTTCCGCTGCATCTGTCCCACTGTTGTCATATCCCTGCTCCAAGATAAAGCTCCAGTCATGTCATTTTCTTGCTTGGAAACCTTAAAATGGCTCCTTACTATTTACTAACCAAAGGGCCAAATCCCTTAACTTGACACTCAGGGATCCTCATGGGCTGGCCACATGATTTTATAAGCTCACTATTGCTTATGTCCTATGTTCTAGACACTCCAAACTACCTTCTCTTTTCAGAGCAATACCATATTCCCACCTTTCCTTCTGCTGCCCCCCCCCTTTTTAACCATATGGAATTCCTTCCACTCCTTTAGAATTCTTACCCATTTGGAAATAGTGGTCTTTAAAGAGTGTTGGTAGGAGTATAAATTGGTGCCCTATCTTAGGAAGGCAGTTTTGCAATGTCTGTTTACGAAATGCCTAAACCCTTTGTCCCATCATTCTATTTCTAAGAATTTATCCTACAGAAACATTGACATGGATATGCAAAGATAAGCAAGGAAACTCATGGCAACATTGTTTGAAATAGCAAAAAGTGAAAATAACTTGAATACCTATCCTTAGGTATCTTAGTCTACATGGGCGGCTACAACAAAGTACCATAGGCTGGGTGGCTTAAACAACAGACATTTATTCCTTGAAGTTCTGGAGTTCTACAAAGTCCAGGATCTATGTGCTGGCCAATCAGGTTCCTGGTAAGATCCCTCTTCTGATGTTGCAGACAGCTGCCTTCTCATTGTGTCCTCACATAGTGGAGGGAGAGAGTTCTGGATTCTCTTTATCTTTTAAGAATAATAACTCCATCATGGGGCCCCACCTTCATGACCTCATCTAAACCTAATTACTTTCCAAAGTCTTCACCTCCAAATACCTTTGTGTTGGAAGTTAGGGCTTAAACAAAAGAATTTTGTGGTTGGGGACACAAACATTCATTCCATAACAGAGAACTGGTAAACAAAATATGGTAGAATTCTATTCTGTTAGAAATGTAGTAGATGCATATATATGCATATGGAAAGATATCTAAGATGTATATTTAAGAGAACAATATGCATACTATTTCATTTACAATTAAAACAGGTTTGTTTTTTTTTAAGATTTTATTTATTTATTTGTCAGAGAGAGAGCAGGAGAGCACAGGCAGGGGGAGCTGCAGAGGGAGAGGGAGAAGCAGGCTCCCCACTGAGCAGGGAGCCCGATGCAGGGGCTTGATCCCGGGGTTCGTGACCTGAGCCGAAGGCAGATGCGCAACTGACTGAGCCACCCAGGTGCCCCTAAGATTTTATTTTTTAAGTAATCTGTACACCCAATGTGGGCCTCAAAATCATAACCCCAAGATCAAGAGTTGCATGCTCTACCAAATGAGCCAGCTAGGTGCCCCAAGAAAGAGTATTTTTACTTTTCAGCTTATTCTTCCCTCTTTTGCATTTCAAGTTTTTACAATGAGTAATACTTAAAAAGAAAATTCTATCCATTCTGCAAGCTTAAACTCCAGTTCCCACACTTCCTTTAGAAGTTGTTCCCAGACTTCCCTGATAAACATGATCTTTCTCTCCTCTGAATTCCCATAACAGTTTCTTTTTCTCTAATGGCACTTCTCATATATTATGATTCCCCTGTATCGAGCCCTTTCAGAGAAGGGGACTTGCTTAGTTTATTCTTGTAACCTTGGAAACTAGTATACTAGTACTAGTATTAATACAAGTGTGTACTAATGTTTCTTGTATGAGGAGTGTAAGGACCCTTTCTTTTTCTTTTCCTTTAATCTCCCACAGTAAAGTACCTTGAATTTAGTAACTTGATGTATTTAGAAATGTAAGTTGGACTCTTCCATAATTAACCAGAAGATTGGGGTAGAGTAGGGGGAGGTCTGTGAGTTAAAATGTTTATATAATGTAAGGGAAGTGTATTAGTTGTGATTCCTTAAAGTTGACATATCCTTATTTGGGTGTTTCTGTTGTTTATCTGTAATACTTGTTTTCTTATCCTTAAAGAAAGTTGCTATTTGCCCTGTTACTATAATTAAGCCTTAAGCAATGGCATTAATGTTCAGATACACTTTATTCACTTCCCATCTGATGGCACATCAGTGGCAATATCTGTAAAACTCCACTTTTTCCCATTATATATATATTTTAAAGATTTATTTGTTTATTTGAGAGAATGCATGCACACGGTGGGGAAGGGCAGAGGGAGAGGGAGAGAGAGAATCCCAAGTGACTCCGCGCTGACCAGAGCCCAACTCGGGGCTTGATCTCAAGACCCTGAGACCATGACCTGAGCCCAGTGCCCAACCAGCTGCACCACCCAGGCACCCCTTTCCCATTAGATTTTTATTTCATTTGTGGACTGCTTCAGTTTCTAGTTAGTTCTTACCTGTTTGAATATTGCCTTGCTACTTGGAGAATTCCAAAGTTTGTTCATATATTTCTCAGAATCAAAATGAAAATCATACTATTTTTTATCTATAAAAACTTACTTTGAGTATGACGACATGTTTTTCTCAATCTTGCCAAAATTTACGTCTGTGGTAAAAACTATATTTGGAAATGAGCTGTAAGTAGTAGGCCATAATAAATATATTTTATATAATGATCTAATTTGATCTTACTGATTATTACCAGATTATGATTAAATGGAGATGTTTCAGAGTTTAATATATAAAAATGCCTTTAGAGTACAATTTTAGTAATATGACCATGTCACTTTTTTTTTCTCATTCTAAACCAATGATGCTAAAATCTTAAAAACCATTCACCGAACCCTGTTTAGAAATTGTTTTGTACTTTTCTTGGTAGGAGTAGTGATTGATGGGTATTCATTTTAGATGTTTTTGAACGGCTGACAGTGCTTATACTGTTATTCAAAGGAGAAGTATGAAGCATAGTTCCTGGCATCACGTCGAGATTTGCATGCAATTATTATACACTATTTTCTATGGTAAATTAAGGTGCTGAGTCTCAAGAGAAATCCTTTGAAAATCTTTCACCTTCTAACAAATGATAAAACAACCTTCCTTTTACATGGAAATAATATATCAAGCTATATGCAAAGTAAATGTTGACCCACATCAATTGAATTACATTCAGTTGAAAAAAATTTTTTTAGGCATTGCATTTCTGCATGCTTATGAAAAGAAGAATTTATTGCTTTCATTCAGTGACTGTTTCCCACTTTTAGGCCTCGGACTCTTAATAATCCATTGAAAACTGTAAATCCTCTGCCCTGGAAAATACATAAACATACAGAATATGTTTTGCATGTGTTACTGTTCTTTTAATCCAGACTTTTCCTTATACCAGTAGCTTAAAACCATTTTTTGAGTGCTCATATCTTGTTTTTTATTTATTTATTTATTTTTTAAAAATTAGAAGGATTTTTAATTTCCAAGGCCTTTGAGAAAGCAAAACTAATGCAACACAAATTGAAAGATCTAATTAAGAAATTTAACAACAAGCCAAAGTAATTTTGTTATATAAATTAACCCATTTGTTATAGGCTAGTAATGTTTCAAATGGTGAAGCTTCTACTGGTCTTTCAACTCCTTCAGTCTTCTGATAGCCGACTTTACTGTGACAGCAGAAGTGGTGTTGTAGGTCCAAGTGCCACCAGCGACGGTTTTCATGCAGGAGCCACAATGCCAGATCCCCACAGCTCGTCTTTTCATCTTTGTTTTGCCACAGAAGGAGCAAGTGTACTTGGCATGCTGGCTTATTTCAATCTTCTTCACCATTTTCCTGAGGGAGGCACCATAATGGGTCCCGTATTTACCCACGATTCCGACCTTCTTCGTGCGTTTAGCCATGTCGCCGCAAACTAGGTCTGAGCCCAGAGAGCTCATATCTTGTTTTTTAGAGGACACTCGGAAGGTAAAGCTAAAAAAAGCAAAGGAAGGATGCCTGTAGTGTCCTGTGTGTGTGCTCTGCACCCCAGAGCCAGCCCCCTCCTTCCCCACTACTCTCTTACCCCATGTCCATTTACATGACTCCTACATTTGATTTTTTCTTGGGGACAGGCTTAAGGGACGCTTCTCCAGATGAAGGGTTACTAGAGGACTTGACTGTAGAGGACAAAGCTGTGGAGCAGCTTGCAGAAGGATTGCTTTCTCACTACCTGCCAGATTTGCAGAGATCAAAACAAGCTCTTCAGGAACTCACGTGAGCTAACAAAAACCTTCCATGCACTCGTTTCCCCTTGTGTATAAACTGCATTAAGGCATAACATTTTGTAACCTTTAATACAGTTGAGTATTTCTGTCTTTAGTGGTAGCAGTTGGGAGTGAAGGAGTACTTAGTAATCTAAATGTAAAAAGTGAGAGGCGCCCAGCTGGCTCAGTCCCAGAAGCAGGAGCATGTGACTCTGGATCTTGGGGTCCTGAGTTCAAGCCCCACATTGGGCATAGAGATTACTTAAGTGAATAAAACTTTAAATGTAAAAAGTGAAATGAATACTACTCCTAGAGTGTTTGGTCTTTTATAAGAGGTACCCCTAAATCTGATCTGGACTATTTGATTAGTTTTGGTGTTTTACCATTATTTTATGAAAATATTGCCTGCTGGGAGTGTTGCAGGATGGGCACACACCCGTTTCTGAGTAGTGTTGCAAAATTGCCTCCATAAGAGCCACATTCCTTTTCAGTCGCTGCTTCACATGAGTTGCCAAAAATCTTTTATCTTTTTTTGAGAGGACCCATTTCATTTCCAGTAGATAAGTCTATCTGACTAAAGGATTGGAGGATATACCAAGGGAAGAACGGGATTTCATGAAGTAGGATCAGTATGCAAAATATATACTAAGTTTATCAGCTCCCACCCAGAAAAGCAGACTGAACTTCTACTTCCTTTTGGGTAGGACCTCACTTAGTTGCGCACGCTGGCCTATCATTGCTTTTCGTGCTTGTCAGCTATGAACTGGCTATAAGCTGTTGCTGCTCTAAGACCTACCCTTTGAAAACTTACCTGAAAAGCCTGTATTCGGGGCGCCCGGGTGGCTCAGTCGGTTAAGCGTCTGCCTTCGGCTCAGGTCATGATCCCAGGGTCCTGGGATCGAGCCCCGCATCGGGCTCCCTGCTCTGCGGGGAGCCTGCTTCTCCCTCTTCCTCTGTCTGCCGCTCCCCCTGTTTGTGCACTTGTGCTCTCTCTCTCTCTGACAAATAAATAATTAAAATCTTAAAAAAACAAAAAAGCCTGTATTAGGGCAAGAGGAGAGGAACAACAACTGTCCATTTTGTACATATTCGTAAGGAATGTTATAATCCTTGGATTTGAAAGTGGTAAATGAGTATGAAAGTGGTACTGTGTTCTACTCTGTGGTACACTCCTGGAGTTAGGGAGTTGCCAGCAATCCTGCAACTAGCAATTTTCTGCTAGTTCCAATGACATTTTTTTCCCCCTAGTGTGTGGTATTCCTTGTATTTTAAAGCCAGTCAATTCTCGTGGCAAAAAGTCATAAAAATTTCATAGGGGAGTTTGGATGAAGTATGTTAGACTGAAGGAAGGTAAGAAACTGCAAGCAAAACACATCTGGATAGGGAAATAGTTTTTTTCTCAGAGGATCATTCCCCAGGGAGTTGGGAAGCACAGTTTAATGGCAGAGTTTAATTGATGACATTGGCTAAAATTTAGTGTTTTAAATAATCCCACTTACCTTCCAACCACCTAAATGACGGTGACGATGACGATGATGATGATGATAGTAAACTCAGCTGCTGTTTATTACTATTACTATATAGACTGCTTGCCCAATACTTTATATACTGTATCTCAATCCTGACACCTTATGAAGTATTAATATTATTCCTGTTTATAGTTGAGGAAACTGAGATCCAACAAGTGTAAGTAAATTGAAAAGGATTACACAGGCAGTGGTTAGTGGTAGAGTTAATAATTAAATATGATGAATAAGCAGTTATTATACCTCTGTAGTGTTAAGGAAAGATAAGCAAACTTCACTGAAAGGAAAAAGATGTTTTCTAGTAGCTGCCTCTTTCATCCCTCTCTCCACAAATCCCACCGCTGATAAAGATTTAGGGGAAAGAGTGCTGGACTGAGAGGCACCTGGGATCCAGTCCTGGCTGTGTTATCAAAACAGTTTAATTTTCATTAAGCCACTTTACATTATAGAAATAGGTCTACAGAGGTGAAGGAGAAGGTAGTGGTAGACACAAATCAAGTTTACTTTGTAGCTAACAATGGGTAGGGAAGACCAAGAACAAAACTTGACTTTATATATAAGAAAGCTTATGAATATTCTTGTACATGTGTTCATCATTTTAAGAACATTGGAAAGAAAGAAAAAAGAGGTTCTGGGATCTAGGTCCTAAAAGCCTCTAGCAAGGTACTTGTAAGTAGCCTTAGTGGGGTTCCCTTTGAGATAATTCATGCTTGGACCTTCCAAGGAAATAGTTTTTTTGTCAGAGGATCATTCCCCAGATACTGCATCAAGGCTTCCCAGTCACTCCCAGCATATGTGCCACAGATTATACAGAACTTAAAGGGAAAGGAAAGCCAGTCATTTCTGCCTGATATTGTAGGTAAATATTCTGTGGAATCTTTTTCTAGAGTGTCTAGACTTATGGATCATGAAAACACTACTTTTTTTTTTTAAGATTTTATTTATTTGAGAGAGAGAGAGAGCATGAGTAGGGGGAGGAGCAGAGGGAGAGGACGAAGCAAACTCCCCACTGCAGGGAGCCTCATGCAGGGCTCGATCCCAGGACCTGAGCCAAAGGCAGATGCTTAACAGACTGAGCCACCCAGGCGCCCTGAAAACACGCTTATAATTACCGTTTTATTATAAAGGATGCACATCAGGACCAGCCAAATGAAGGGACACATAGGGGCAGGGTTTGGGAATATCTCCATCACAGAGCGTCTGTGCCTTCTATTGACATTATTATTATTTTTTAAAGATTTTATTTATTTGACAGAGAGCACAAGCAGGGGGAGCTACAGGCAGAGGGAGAGGGAGAAGCAGGCTCCCCACTGAGCAGGAAGCCGCATGCGGGGCTCTATCCCAGGACCCTGGGATCATTACCCGAGCTGAAGGTAGACACCCAACCGACTGAGCCACTCAGGCGCCCCCTCCTAGTGAAATTAGGGCATGTTACCCTCCTGGCACATCGATGTGTTTACCAACCAGGAATCTCTGCTGAGCTTCAGTGTTTAAAGTTTGTATTGGGGCTTTACTCTCTAAGTATAATTGATTGGATCATTGACCATGTAATTGAACTCACTCTCCAGCAACTTCCCCCCACCTCCCTTCTGTGGAGAGAAGACTGATAGCAGTAATGGTATCACGTGGACTGATATCACCAGGTTCAAAGCCCCAACCCTGTAACCACATGATTGATCTTTCTCGCATGTCCATCCCCCGTCACCTCATTAGCATAAACTCTGGCATGCTCCAAGAGGGGTTTGTGAGTAATGAAGATACTCCTGTCATTTGGGAAATTACAAGCATCTTAGAATAGGCATGCCAGGAACCTGGGACAAAGATCAGACAAATTCATGATTATACACTAAGTGTCTATTCAGATCTTTTGCCTGTTTTTAAATTGGGTTATTTATTTTCTTATTGTTGAGGTTTAAGTGTTCCTTGTATACTTCTGATACGAGTCCTTTATGTGTCTTGCAAGTATTTTCTCCAAGTGTGTGGTTTGTCTTTTTGTTCTCGTAATAGTGTCTTTTTTGGAGCAGAAGTTTTTTTTTTGTTTTATTTTGTTTTGTTTTGAGCAGAAGTTACTTATTTTTTAAAAAAGTTTTTATTTATTGATTTCCGACAGAGAGAGAGAGAGTGCACGCGTGCACGAGTGGGCAGGGAGGGGCAGAGGGAGAAGCAGGCTCCGGGCTGAGCAGGGAGCCGGTTGTTGGGCTCGACCCCAGGACCCTGGGATCATGACCTGAGCTGAAGGTAGACACTTAGCCACCTGTGCCACCCAGGTACTGGAGCAGAAGTTTTTAATTTAATTTAATTTAATTAATTTATTTTAGAAGTCTTTAATTTTAAAAGTCTGACTTACCAACATTTTTTTTTCATGGATCATGCTTTTGATATTTCTTGTAAAGATTCATCTCTAAACCAAGGTCACCTAGATTTCCTCCTGTGTTTCCTTCTAGATTTTTTAGAGTTTTACATTTTATATTTAGATCTGTGGTCCATTTTGAGTTAATTCTTGTGAAATTGTAAGGTCTGTGTTTAGGTTAATTTCTCTGCACGTCACTGTCCAGTTGTTCCCTCACCTTTGACTATCCTTTCTCCAGTGCGTTGCCTCTGTTCTTTTGTCAAAGAACCATTGACTATATTTGTGTGGGTCTATTTAAGAGCTTTCTATGCTGTTCCATTGATCAGTGCGTTCTTTCACCATTATCATGCTGTTTTGATTTCTGTAGTTTTACAGGGAATCTTGAAATTGGGTAGCATTAAGTGTTCCAACTTTGTTCTTCATTGTGCGTTGGCTATTCTATCTTTGCCTTTCTGTGTGAATTTTAGAGTCAGTTTGTTGATATCTATAAAAGAACTTGGTGGGACTTAAATTGAGATTGCATAGAATCCTTAGATCAGGTTGGGAGGAATGTTATCTTAACAGTATTGAGTTTTTTATTCCATGTAGTTGGAATATCCATTACTTAGATTTTTTTTATTTCTTTCATTAGAGTTTTATAGTTTTTGCATATAACGCCTGTATATATTTTGTTAGATTTATATCAAACTATTTATATGAAGGGGGTTATTGTAAGTGGTATTGATTTTTCTAATTATTCACTCCTGAGTTTTATACATTAATCTGGTATGCTGAAACCTTGCTATAGTCATATACTTTGTGGATTTTTTGGGATTTTCCACATAGGCAGTCATGTCATCTGTGAACAAAGACAGTTTTATTTCTCCCTTTCCAACCTGCATACCTTTTATTTTCTTTTTCTTGTCTCATTACATTAGCTGGAACTTGCGGTATGATGTTGAATAGGAATAATAAAAGCAGACAGTCTTTCCTTACTCCTTATCATAAGGGGAAAGCATCTAGTTTCTCACAAGTGTGATGTTAGCTATAGGCTTTTTTTTAAATTTTTTTTTAATCAAGTTGAGGAAATTCCTCTCTCTTTCTAGTTTGTTGAGAGTTTTTAATCATGAATGGTGTTGGACTTTATCAGATGCCTTTTCTGCATCACGTAATAGGACCAAATGATTTTTCTTTACTCTATTGATGTCTTGGATTTCACTGATTGATTTTCAAATGTCGAACCAGCTTTGCGTACTTGGAATAAATCTCATTTGGTTGTGGTGTATAATTCTTTTTCTATATTGTTGGATTTGTTTTGTTAATATTTTGTAGAGGATTTTTTTGCATTTCTGTTCATGAAAGATATTGGTCTATAGTTTTCCTTTTTTGTAGTATCTTTATCTAGTTTGGGTTTTAGCGTAATGTTAGCTTCATAGAATGAGTTAGGAGGCGCTCCCTCTGCTTCTGTTTTCTGGACGCTGTTGTGGAGAAGTGTTATAATTCCTTCCTTAAATGTTTGGTAGAAATTACGTGTGAATCCGTCTGGTCCTGGTATTTTTATTTCTGGAAGGTTATTACTTACTGATTGAATTCCTTTAACAAATATAGGCCTACATAGATTATCTGTGTCTCCTTGTGTGAGTTTTGGAAGTTTGTGTCTTTCAAGGAATTAGTTGTTTCTATCTAAGTAATCAATTTTGTGGACAGAATTGTTGAAAATATTCTCTTCTGATCCCTTTAATATCCAGGGAGTCAGTGATGATTTCTCTTCTATAAGTAATGTTAGTAATTTGTGTCTTCTCTTTTTTTTTCCTTGTGAGTCTGGCCAGAGGTTTATTAATTTTATTGATCTTTTGAAGAACAACTTTTGGCTTTATTGATTTCTCTTTACTGTTTTCTAGTTGTAACAGTCTGTCATTGCCATCCTGCTTATGTGGGGTCATTGACTTACTGGGTTCTCTTCTTATTCATTGTGTGTTTCACTTTCTGTGGTCTCTGCTCAAGAGCCAAACGGACAAACTTGTGACCTGGGGGGTATGCCAAACTCCTTGCTGGGTGGTGGAGATGTTGTAACTGTTCTTCATTCTCTTCATTGCTGTTTCTTTTTTTCATCATTCTCTGTTTAGCATAGTTTTGCAAGTAAATCATGTCATATTTTGCTTTCCCTGTATTCTTTAAAATGTTTAATTCAGTGGCCCCATCAGTGTTACTTATTCCTGTGTTCCTAGGACTGGTTGATCTGGAGAGGAGTATCAGGGAAGTTGGCTTCTGTTCTTTTTTTTTTTTTTTTTTTT